CTTGGTGGAATAGATCTGCTACGCTGCTGCTGCTGCTGAATTGCTGCTGCTGTTGGTTATTGCTGTAGTTGTAGATAATTGCTGCTGCTGCAAGCAGGTACAGGAACTTGCTACTGCCAATGCATATGGCAATACGGTGCCATTAGTATTTAAGACATACTGCTGCTGCACAAATAGCATATAAAATAACCCATAGCAGATCTATACAGGTGGAGCTGGGGAAGGTGGAGTGTTTCAGAGAAACTCTGAAAGCGCGCTGCAGGGATCTCTAGTGAATGCTAGCCAGCCATATAAATGCAAGGCAGTAAGCTCATTGGCTGCATATGCAGCATGACCCAATCAGCTGTGCCAAGTCGTTTAACTCTCTGAATATCATCGATTACGTTAACAACCCGTTGCCTGCGCCATCTAGAGTTTCATGACTGAACTATATATTTATATCTCCTAGCTGATATGCCAGTGACGTCTTTTAATTTGCGGGGTGCCAATAAATTTATGTCCGTCAAATCATGGACTTTCACTATTTGAATCAGCAGGGATGTATTTTTATTCTCAGAGTTGTCTCATCTGGTTTCCACGCCTTACTCGTCTAGACATTTCCTCACCCCTAAACAAATGATTTTTTATTGCATGCCGAATCAAATCAAATGGTGCTGTTGAAGATCTGTCAACTCCTGCAGCTGAGAATCCATGAACTCCTGCCAGCATAATGACTAACATTGTGCGTTTTCACTGTTATTGGTGCCATCATGTTGACCCTGAACACACTTTGTGTGTAATGCTTGTTGTTGTGAGGTCTGAGATCCTAAGAGATGTGATTTGGCTGCCGGGGAGGTGGATCAAACTGAAAGAGGCTGACGCATATGGCTCTGATGTGCTCTTTAGGGAGAGTGAACTTTCTGGTGGTATTTGAGAGCATATTACTCAGTCAGTGGAGTGATATGCCCCGTGAGAGCTTGAAAGTATAATTTTAAGCGTGTCTTTGTTGCTTCTCATTGTTTATTTCTCAGAATCTGCTGGCTTTTTTCTCTTTGGCTTCTCATCTCTCTCTTTTCTTTGTCATTGCAGCTCAGAACTGTTCTGGTTTGCGTACATGTGGTCTGTGTCTGGAGCAGCCTGACTGCGGCTGGTGTGGGGACCCTAGTAACACCGGCCGAGGGCAGTGCATGGAGGGTTCGTATCGCGGACCCATGAAGAGCCCCTCTAAACACAGCCAAGACATGGTGCTGGAGACGGGGCTCTGCCCAAAAGAGCGGGGCTTTGAGTGGGCCTTCATCCAGTGCCCTGGTGAGAACCACCCACGTTTTGACAATCACGTGCACACTTGAACTTTAAAGAGCAAATTTGTTCCACCAGGGGTTTTCAAACTGCAGGGCAGGGAACCCCTTGGGACACAAAGGGGTGCAAGATGATCTGCAAAAAAATGATAGAACAAAATGACCATATGTATTTTTTTAGGGCTATAATTGTTAACGTATATATGTAAAGATATTAATGAAATATGTTTAGTGTGACAGTAAATAAATGATACATTTACTGTGTTAAGACAGAAATAGTGATCAGAAATAGTGAGATTAATTGTGATAATTTTATTGACAGCTGTGGTTTTTAACATTAATACTTCTATTCAGTAAGAATAATTCAAATTCATCAAAAGTGACTGCGCTATTTTAGATGATGATTTTTTTTTTGAAATAAATGCCAATAGCTTTTCTATTCATCAAATAATCCTGAAAAAAGTATCCTGTTTTCCATGAAAATATTAAGTACATGAAGCCTTGTTGAGCATAAGAAACGTTTTTAAAAAACATTAAGAAATATTACTGGCCCCAAACCTTATATATGTATGCATTTATTTATTGTTGTAATTTAACATTTTTGTTATTTCCCTAATAACGATTTAATTTACTTTAGTACTTAGTGACAATATATAAAAATAATTTTGTTGTCTTTACAGTATCACTCCACATTTTTACAAAATATATAAATGGGGTTTAAACATGAAAATATGTATCTGCTTTCATATTTTTGGAAAGGGATCCCTCACCAGGGGATCATTATATTTGGGGGTTCTTGGCATAAAAAGTTTCAATATCCTTTAGTTTTCAATTGAGTCATCTCTGACAACAAGATTTGTAAAAATTATTTTTATTTCCCAGCATGCCAGTGCAATGGCCACAGCACGTGTGTGAATGGCAGCGTGTGTGAGCAGTGTCGTAACCTCACCACCGGGCTTCACTGCGAAACATGCTTGCCCGGATACCATGGAGACCCAACCAATGGTGGAAAGTGCCAAGGTGAGAATATTTGCACCTGCTACTAACTGGGCATTTTGATACACCATTTGGCTTAGTAATGGAGAAAAGAGCGCACTGGGAAATGAATGTTGAGGACAAAGAGGTGGTTGCACTGCCAGAGGTGAGGGGCAAGATCACACATAGACATGCACTCACATTTTTTCTCTTTTGCCCTGGAGATGTCGGTTTACAGCATTGGCCTATGATTCTAGGAGAAACAGGATATGCTGTAACAGGCCATTATGTTCACAGATATGAGACAACACCCCCACCAGGACTTTAACACTAAGAGCTAGCCATCACAAAACATGTGCTAGTTTAAACTTTCTAAAAGTGTGGTCCTAAGAGGTCTTATGTTTTATTTACAACATATTTTTGAATGTAAATGGATTTGTTGTGTTCCTCAATGTTTTTGTGAAATTTTGCCCAAGGCCTCCTTTAGTTTAATGCTTGATGGGACGTCAGTTCTGAAACTGCGCCCTGCAAACACTATCATGTTTCCCATATTCTTGAGAAATATGATATTCATATTCCTTCTTAAAAGCAGACCAGTTTACAAAAGGCGTTCATACGCACATCAGCATAGACCTTTGATATACGACCTACAGGATTCTGGGATTTAGAGACAGTGTAGAATTGGTCCTATACATGTTGTCATGTATGTTTAGCACGGCGGACAAAAGCCTGTCAGAGCCCAATGATCTGCAGCGATGTTAGTCCAGCGTGAAGAGCGTGTGTAGAATTAAAGCTTATTTTAGAAATAATTATAGTCCACTGCTCAAAAAAGGTGGAAATGGATTTTAGTACAGATAAAAGACTGGCACTTAAAGCTAGTGTTTTTGTCAGTGGCAAAAATCTTCTGAACGCAAATGTACCTGTTTTGCAGAGTTTCAGAACTGGTGATCTTGAAGTGAATCATATAATAAATGAAATTTTCCTCATGCTTTGAAATAAGAGTTAATTGAAAGTCTCCAAAAAGACCAGTTTGATCCAAAATTTCATCCAGATTCCACAAATACACTAACATAACTCCCACATCAATGGCAGTAATGCCAATATAGAGTTCAGTAACTTGTTGTGTTTTATATGACCACTTTACATGTTATACAATATATGTTTGTATATACAGTATTATTCACAAGTTCGGAGTCAGTTTTTTTTTTTCTTTCTTTTTTTGAAAGAAATTAAAACTTTAATGCAACATGGATGCATTAAATTGATCAAAAGCGACAGTAAAGACATTAAAATAAAATCAAACTTTTAAATATCTTTAAGGGTGCTTTCACACGTTTCCTCGGTTCGTTTGGGCATATGTGAACACGGCAATCGCACCCGGATCCGCGCCAAAATAATCGGTGTGAGATCGCCAGAACGAGGTGGTCTCGGCTCGATTGAAAACGAACTCTGGAGCGGTTCGGTTGTAGTGAGAAAGCAATCCGATCTAACGGACCAATGAACCAGGCTATATCACAATGTATAATGGGTAATTACGTGAGTTCCGTGAAAAGCATTAGCTTTGTTGTTTTGCTAATACTTCAAAATGAACCTGTGAATGTCTGTGGGTGAGCACGTCTTCACCATTCAAAATAAAAAAGCACACTTTTTCATTTTATAATGGCATCTTATTGCTCTTCTTCCTAGTAGGTGCATTTTAAAAATGTTTTCCCGATGAATCCTGGACTCCTGCTCAAAATGATAAATTAATATAAGGACAGCTCCAAAAAAAAAAAGCTGTTGTCGTTCCATCCTGACGGATGCCAGCTGTGACAGCTAAGTGGAATCCTGGAAAATAAACCGTGGAACTTTGACCAATGAGACAACAGTTTACTCGCGCATGACTTGTATTAACAAATTTGGTCTGTTTAGAAACTTTGCCGTGTGAAAGCGAACCGCACCAAGAATAAAAAGCAACATTGTAATAATTTTAATCCCTGTTTCGGAACAAAGCAATCTATCTACAGGTGTGAAAGCACCCTAAAATGTCTTCTTTCAAAAGAAGACTTTTTTCAAAACCATTAAAAGTTATTACTGACCCCAAACTATTGAACGGTAGTCTATATTATAAAATACAAAGACAACATTTTATTTATATAATATTTACAAAATATATTTGTAAGTAAATTTATAAAATTGAAATGTGTAAATCTGTTAAATATCTACACATTCTATTTTAAACTAATTTTTGTAATTTATAGTGCTAAATTCATATATTTTAGTTTTACATGGCAAGGTATGTGTATTTTTATTTTTTTCAAATGCACATAGAATGATGAAAATGTACCATTTTGTTTGTTCATTGACCTCTGTGGTTAAGGTTTATAATTTATTATTTTGATTTTCATCATTGATGTTGCCTAAGGACAGTAACACGATGTTCTAATGTAATGCAGCCAAACTCGCTTCTCTGTGAACAAATCTGAGAACAGAGGGACTACCTATGAGCTGATCTCACTGTTTTTGTCAGCTTTTTTGACCACGTGTGAGTCAATTAAGTCATTTGTATTTGTTTTTATTTGTTACCTTCAATATTAGATGGTGTCACAGAAGTTTTCCAGAATTGCTCTGTTATAGCAGTAGATAAAAAGACCTCATTCCTTATTGAAATCAACCTGTTTTCTTTAAATTGCAGCGCATTTCATAATTAAATAATGTTTAAGCTGCTAAGCTGTATTTGTAAGATGAGTCTCGTACTTCTCTGTGTTTGTTTTCACAAAATGTGTTTCTCTCTTTCCTTCCCCCTTCTATTAATCTTTATATCTCTCTATATATTTCTCATCCTCCCATTTTTGTCTTTTTTTTTTTCAGCCTGTAAATGTAATGGCCATGCCAACGTGTGCCAGGTGCTGACGGGCAAATGCTTTTGCACCACCAAGGGTATCAAAGGCGACCAATGCCAGCTGTAAGTACCTATGCTGCATGCAATCATTTACTTATATAAATAAAATATTAAATACATGCCAAGACTTTTATTTTTTTAAATGTATATAATAAATGCTTGTTTAAGTAATACATTACTATACTTGTTCAATAATTAATTAATTAATTATTATTTTTTATTTTTTCTTAAACCCAATTGAGTTTGTCCCTGGATCTTTCCCAAGTATAGTTAATAATTCCATACCCCTTTAATCATTAAGTCCCCTGCATTCCATTTAGCTTGACTCTGTGTCCTCACAATTTTGGCTAAAGCTGACCTGCAGACGCAGCATATTTTGTCTGCATGTGTGCACACACTTTAATAGCACTAATGGAGGTGGAAGTGAGGTGTGGGAGTGTGCTGGCGTGTGTTTGTGACTATTAGAGAGACCAATTCTCTTTGACAATAATAAAACTCGAGTGTTTCACTCACTGCATTGTTATATGTGCATGCAGAAATTCTAAAGATTGGGTTGACCAGTCATGCTCATTTAGGAGACGTGGGTGTGAACTGAATTTCCCACATTTACATTTACATTTACATTTAGTCATTTAGCAGACGCTTTTATCCAAAGCGACTTACAATTGGGGGATACATAAAGCGATTCTTCTTAAGAGGCAAACAGACACAGGAAGTGGTTGTAATACCAAGTTCTTAGACATTGTTCAAATAAGTACAAGCTAGAAAGAGAAGGAATAAATAA